GTGTGTGTGTGTGTGTGTGTGTGTGTGTGTGTGTGTGTGTAACTCCCAATATAAATTTAATAAAAGGCTTATCTTATATTAGATATCTTATAAAGTTAGAAATATTTATTGTTGGCCGCTTAATAATAAACAAACTCTTAAACTCTCTATCGTTTGAAATCTCTGAATACTCTTCTCGCCATGAGCGCCCTCAGTCGACTACTCTGTTATCTATAGATAGTTGACTGAAGGCGTTCATGGCGAAAAGAGTATTCAGAGATATCAAAGTATAAAAAGTTGTTTATGTTATGTGGCAATGTTTAATAGGCATTTTCTAAGTCATTTTTCTCTTCCTTTTTGCAAATACATATAGAAAAGAAAGAAACTGTAAAGAAAGAATGACTCAGTATGTCACAAATGCGAATTAGATTAAAACAGTAAACTAACCTAATTATAATGTATATATTATAATTGTGACATACTGAGTCATTCTTTCTTTAGAGTTTTTTTTTTTTATGTATTTGGAAAAAGAAAGAGAAAAACGACTTATAGAAAATGACTACTAAACATTGTAACATAAATTTCGTAGTTTGTGTTACAAGAAGTTGCACAATAGTCTTAGAGGCTTCTATTTTTACGAGCATGACAAATAAAACTCCGTTTATACAAAAACGTTTAATTACGTGTCTGATTATTAGCCAATTTCTTCACCGTCAGATAACCCTATCCTTCGGTTAACCTCACTCTTCATCTCTTTCTAAGGGAGTTAGAAAGCAGTTAGAAAGAAATGAAAAGTGAGGTTAACCGAAGGATAGAGTTATCCGACGGTAAAGAAATTGGCCCTATGAAAATGGTTGTAATGACTTGACATCAAAACTTGACGATTTTGCTATTTTGTTAAAATTAATTTCTTTTCTAATATAAAATAAAATTTATTGCAGACGGTAAAAAAATAAGGACATTACTTGCTTTAAATTTATTATTCACTGTGGTGACTGTTTGGAAGAAAAAACAAGAACAGTGGCGACCATCACGCCAAGAATCTCGTGAAGCGTTTCTACTTTTTGTAAAGGTAAGTGTGCATACTTGTAAACTTGAAAAATTTGTAGACCTGTAACCGTTAATATACTCATTAAAGATTTTGGTTCTTAAATAAGTAGACAACTGTCAGAAACTTCACAGGTTTCAATACGTTTTTTATACTTATTTGGTTATTTTTGTTTAAAACGTTACATTTATATATTCAGTTATATAAAGCAAGTAATGGAGTTATAGAATAAGCTCGCTAACTAAGTTCAAAAAATAAAAAATTATTTTAAGATTATTTATATACTAAAGTTAACTGGATACTAAATTTTAATATTTCTGTGCATTTTTAGACTACAAGTGATATCGAACCAACATTGAATTTAAGGAAGGAGAAATATATCAAATATGGAAAAAATTTAGGAGTGCAGGCTGTAATTATTGGTGCAGATTTAGATTGCATCAAATATTCTTATGTCATTATCAATGACATATGGTACGAGGTTGAAACTCCATTTAAAGCCATCGACATAGCATTCAAAGCGATGCAGGCATTGGATAGTACCTATCCAATAGAATGTGCAAGAGAATGGTTATTTTTACAACGAGGAGTGTATGAAATTACTACATCACACGACAAAGATATTAGTAATCCTAAGGTATTGGCTATGATTGAAGAATATTTAAAATTCAAATCATTGTTACAATCTCAGTAAAAGACAATAATACTGTACAGATAAAGTGTACAGTATTGTATTAAAAAGTTGTACAACTAGTATATAAGTACTTTTGTTTAATTCAATGACGTTGCATATCTTAGTTTAGTTTTTACTGAAATGTCCAAAGAAAAATGTGATACTTTTTTTAAAGATATCTATATATATAATTTATATAATATATATAAAACTTAATTTTCTGTTAATCTACTGAGATATATAAGATATACTTTAACTTTTATTTTACTAAGATATGCTTGTACAATGCGTGTACAAAAATATTTTTCCTGATTCTGTACGACTGGTTTTTTTTTCGAAAAGTAAGTTTTGTGTTTATACTTCAAATTTATAAAGTAAAGCAATTGATACTTTACTTTATAAATTTCTCGGAAGTTCAATAATTTGTACTAGAGTAAAATATTGCTAAATATATGATTAAATGGTATTGCTAATTTTTCAAAATGGTTTTAGTAAAATGTCATATATGTACTAATGAATCTTTTGCAAGTATTGATGCTATTCAGGTTCATTTCTCTATAAAGCATCCTACCTGTACCTATTTTAATTGTATTATTGAAGGCTGCGGTCGTTCATTTGACTTATGGAATTCATTTCGAAAACATCTACGAAATAAGCATGCTTTACCTAATCGCTTCAAAGAATGTAATGATCATCAGCTTGAACGGATAGATTATCCTGTACATCATTTTGACAATGTGACTGAAGAAGCTTCTCATGCAGATGCAGTTGACGAAACAGAATTATTTAATATTTCACCTCCTGATTTTCATGATTTATTAGAAAAACATGCTAATATTCTTGTTTGTAAAATGTATGCAAAACCGGGTCTTCCACGTAACCAGGTCCATTCAGTAATCGACGATTTTTCTTCCTTTCTCGGTGGAAATTTCCTCACAATTTTGAAGCAAAAAGTAATAAATACACTGAACAATTGTCACGCCGAAGTCGAAGTTATTAGCAGCATTAAAGAAATGTTTAAATCTTTGAGCAATCCATTTAATCATTTATCTACAGAGTACAAGCGTATGATATATTTCCAGTCTATAGGTGCGTACATCCCTCCCGAAAGTTATTGTATTGATTTTCATATGGAAAAAATAAAAACAAAAGAAGGTGTAAAACCACAAATGACTCAAGTAACTGGACAGTGCATTTCACTTCGACACGTTCTAAAGAAATTCTTTGAACTTCCAGATGCTTTTAATAGTACGTTACAATACATCCAGAAAATTCAATCAGAGTCAGATACAATTTATAACTTTGTACAGTGTAAAAGATGGAGGGATGTAATCACTAAACATTTTAAGAAATCTGATATTGTGTTCCCACTTCTTGTTTACTACGACGATTGGGAACCCAATAACCCTCTCGGACCGCATTCCGAAAAGATGGGTTCGGTATATGTAACAATACCGTGTCTACCTCCAGAGTGCCAATCCAAGCTTGACAATATTTTTGTAGCTCTTTTGTTTTATGCTGATGATAGAAAACAGTATGGCAACAAGAAAACATTTGCTCCTTTAGTTACCGAACTTACATACTTAGAATCGGAGGGAATAGTTATAAATACAACGGAAGAGGAAAAAAGAGTTTATTTTGCTACTGGCCTTTTCATTGGAGACAATCTTGGTATTCATTCAATGTGCGGGTTTGTTGAAAGCTTTTCCGCGAATTTCATGTGTCGGTTTTGTAAAGCATCCAAATTTTTGACTGAAACGCAATGCGTTGAAGATCCAACTCTATTAAGAAGCTCAGAGAGCTACTACAATGACTTAGCCTTAGAAAACCCACGGTTGACCGGGATCAAAGAGGAATGTATTTTTAACGCTATACCTTCAGTGGATATTATCGAAATGCCTTTCGTTGATAGTATGCATGATTGCTTAGAAGGAGTAGGGCATTATTCAATGATTGCTATTCTCAAACATTTTTTTCAATTGGATCCTTTATTTTTAGAAATGCTTAATCACAGAATGTATATGTTTGATTATGGTTTTTATGATGGTTTAAACAAACCACCTTGCATAACTCCTGAAATGTTATTAGGCAAAAATAAACTCAAAATGACAGCAAGTGAGATGATGCTATTTGTGCGTTTGTTTGGAATTTTTGTGGGTGATGTAATCGAAGAAAATGATAAATTCTGGGAATTGTATCTTTTATTACATGATATTTTCAATATTGCTCAAGCAAAAAAACTTCCATCGGATATTGATAATGTTCTACAAGTTTTAGTAAAAGAGCACAATGAATTATACCTTAGAATTACTGGAGACCGATTAAAACCCAAACATCATTTTCTTTTGCATTACTCTATGATTTTCAATTATTTGGGGCCATTTGCAAATGTGTCTTGTATGCGTTTTGAATCTATGCATAAACGATTAAAAGCATATAGTACTGCATCACAGTCAAGGAAAAACCTCCTTTTGTCTCTTGCCACAAAATTTCAACTTGCTTTGTGTTACAGATTTATATTAAAATCCAGTATTTTTCCTTGTCTTATAACTGGTCCAGGGGACATTGTAGATCTTTCCGAACTTCCTCAGTATTCATTTTTTAAGTCCTCGCTTCCTGATTCTTTTAAAAGAAATTCTGAACATTTATGTTTAAAATGGATAGAATGGAAAAGTTTTAGATACAAGCTTGGATTTGCTCTTATTGTTGGGGTAGATATTTCTGGAGACTTACGTTTTGCACA